TTCCGTTGGCTGCCCCTGGACTCAGGTTTCCTAAGAAATGGAGTATCTGCCAGATAATAGGGAGATTCCTTGCTTGGCCGTGAGTTCAGAGGAAGAGAGATGTACCCTAATAAAAACAATGCTTATTAGCTATGCCCTACTTAAACCAATGGACAAGTTTTCTTTGTCTATGTGTGTGTATGTGTGTGTGTGTCTCTCTCTCTGTGTGTATGTTTATGTGTGTGTGTTTGTGCTTGCATGCATATGTGTGTAGAGGCCAGAGGCCAGTGTCAAATGTCTGTCTTTATTGCTCTCCACCTTACATTTATTTTTAGTTCTATTTATGTGTTTGGTGTGTGTTTCTGTGCCCATGAGCGCAGGTGCCTATGGGGGCCGAAAGAAAGTAGCGGATCCCCTGGAGCCAGAGTGACAGGTTGTTCTGAGGAGCCCAATGTGGGCAGTGGGAACAGAACCACAGTCCTCTGCAAAAGCAGACAGTGCTTGTTGGGAACCAGCAGTCTGCTGACCCCGCCCCCGATGATGGGTGGGATGCTCATGGCCATGTCTTATCTACCTCATGACTTACCTGGCTGCTCAAGCTTTACCTGGCTGCGCAGGGGACTCAGTTATGCATGCACAAGTTTCCCTTTTAAAGCAAGTACGCCAAGCATGCCTCTCTTTCTTGCTTTCTCTCTTGCTCTCTCTCTTCCTCTATTTTCTCTCTCTCTCCCCCTGCTTTCGGTTGGCCACCAGCTACCGCCCTTTCTCTCCCCTCTATCAATGAATCCACGTGGGCGCTGAGTCTAGTGTTTGTGTTTCTTAGGTAAGAATTATAGCAACAGAACAACAGTGCTCGTAATGTCTACGCTGTCCCTCCAGCCTTCCACTTTACTCTTTGAGATAAGGTATTTCACGGAACCCGGGCCTTTCTGTTTAGGCTCATTGGCTGTTACTGAGCCTCAGGGACACTTCTGCATCTGTCTTTCCAGTGCTGGATTCCAGGCATGCATCACCACACCTGGCTTTGTCGTGGATTCTGGGGATCCAAGTTCAAATCTTCATGCTCGTGAGGCCAACACTTCATTAACTACGCCCAAAGGTCTTCGTTTCTCTCATTTTGACCCCACTTTGCCCTCTATGTAATATAATAAAATATCTAGATTGCATAATCCCTGGCCAGCCACACAAGTGTGTCCTCAACAAGTGAGAGGTCCCTGAAAAGATTTTTGTTTTTTAAATTGGCATTAGGAAAAGCAAAGCTGAAATACACGTTTCGTTCCCCTAGATCTTTGTTCAAGAAAAAAAAATTTTTTTTTCATCTTTACTGTTAGGGAAGAATTTCAATTAGTTTGGTCTTCGCTTTGGCTATGCATTTGTAATTTGTCTTCTCATGTTGGCAAAGAAAAATTTGCTGAAAATAATCGGGCAATAATGGAATCTTGTCTTAGCAGAACAAACCAGATTATCACACCAAAGCAGAGGATGACGGGCATTAAGTAGCTACAGACTGGGGCAGTGGAACAAAGGCCTACCTTTCCCAAGAATCCACTGTTCCAGTGGCTATAGGGAGAAGGAGCCATAGTGTGGAAAGCACTTAGGTGGCAAGGCCTGAGTAATGCCTTGGAGTTGTCTGGTAGGCCATTTAATCCTCTACTCCTCAATTTTCTCATCTGTAAACTGGGGACTATTCTATCTACTTTGCAAAATTGTAAAGATAATAAACAGAGCAAAAACATGAATCATGAGCCTGGAAAAATGGCTCAACAGTTAAGAGTGATTGCTGCCCTTGCAGAGGACCGAAATTTGGCTCTCAGTACCCAATAGTAGTGGATGAAGATTCCCCTTTCCCAGAATTCTTTCTAGCATTTGTTGTTTGTTTTCTTGATCTTACTCATTCTGACAGGGGTAATATGAAACAGTTTTAGTTTGCTTTTCTCTAATTGCTAAGGATGCTGAACACTTTAAAGATGTGTGTGTGTGTGTGTGTATCCTTCCTTCCTTCCTTCCTTTCTTTCTTTCTTTCTTTCTTTCTTTCTTTCTTTCTTTCTTTCTTTCTTTCTTTGGTTACTCTGTTCAGCTACATACCCCACTTTTTAATTCAGTCACTTGTTTTCTAGATTATTTTTGAGTTCTTTGTAGATTTTGGATAACAATCTTCTATTGGATGCATAGATGGCAAAGATTCTCCCTCACTCTGGGGGATTCTTCTTCACTTCATCATTTTCTTGGGTGCACAGAAACCTTTCAATTGCCTGAGGTCCCATCTGTCAGGTGTTGGCCTCAATTCATGAGTAAAAGATTTATTTTCAGCATAACCTTTCTTGCACCAATGTCTGCTTTCTTCTAGTAAGTCAGCGTTTTGTTTTCACGTGGAGGTCTTTGGTCCACCTGGAGTTGATTTTGGGGGCCTAGGTGCTCAATATGGGTTCAGTTTCATTCTCCCACAATGTGGCCATCCAGTCCAGTTTGAGTGGGACCATCCCTAGACAGGTAGTCGTAGGTTGTATGAGAGAGCTAGCAGAATGGGAGCATGGTTAGCAAATAGCATTCTTCATGCATGTTTTCTGCTTCACTTTCCACCCTGACTTTCCCCTCAATGACTGACCTGGTAGTGTAAACCAAACAAACCCCTTCCACCTCAAATTGCTTTCAGCTGGAGTGTTTTAACATAGCACCATGAAGCAAGCTAAATCACACAGTAAAACGGTGACTATGAGCAAAGTGTCCTGTTTGCTTGTTTCCTCCAGACTTTGTGTGTGTTACATCTGTAGTAGCTTAGTGTCCTTCCTCCCTCCCTCCCTCCCTCCCTCCCTCCCTCCCTCCCTCCCTCTCTCCTTCTTTCCTTTTTCCCTCCCCCCTCCTTCCTTTCCTCCTTCCTTTCTTTTGAGACAGGGTTTCTCTGTGTAGCCCTGGCTCGTCTGGAAATCACTCTGTAGACCAGGCTGGTCTTGAACTCAGGGATCCATCTGCCTCTGCCTCTAGAGTGCTGGGATCAAAGGCGTATGCCACCACCCAGCTTTTCTTCTCTTTTACATTTTTTTACACATAATATTTTTATTGTTTATTTGGGAATTTCACATAATACACTCCAATCACCCTTACTTCCCAGGCCTTACCCCCCTCACCTTTGTGGCCTACACCCCTCCCCCCCAAAAAAAGATTTTTAAAAAGATAAATTCGTGTTGTTCATATAGTCACCAGAGCTCGGTCAGACTCCCAGTGACATCGTGTTCCTGTTAACTGTAGAGGACAAGGAAACTTCCCTTGCAGTGGCATTAATGACTTAAGTCTCAAAGTTGATTGGGAGGCATAGAAGGCTTCTGTGACAACCCTCACCCCTAGGACAAAAAAGTGACAACCTAGATAGGAAGCCTAAAACAACTGTGATAGGGATGCTGAAGATAGCATCCCCACAATAGATGACTACTGGGCTGAGGCTGGCGGGCTATGGGCAATGGCTCACTTTTATTTAGTATACATCTTATTGAGCCTGCAAGTACTAGTAACTCTAGTCCTGAGTTAGGTTAGATATCTAGATTTGTTCACCCATGGGTCTCACTTCCGTTCCCTGCTTGTCTCTGGGAATTACCCTTTTCAGGTTACTATTTTTATAGTACTTTTTCTTAAGATTTCACACACAGGGCGGGGGATGTGGCCCAGGTAGTAGAACGTTGCCTAGCATACATGAAGCCCTGGGTCCCAATTTAGGCCATAAACCAAGAGTGGCGGTACATGCACGTAATCCCAGCACTTGAAAGGGGGAGGCAGAAGGATCAGGAGTTCAAGGTTATCCTGGCCTACATGGAGGTGGAGGCTAGCTTGGGCTACATGAAACCTTCTCTCTCTCTCAAAAAAAAAAAAAAAAAAAAAAAAAAAGCAAGACAAAACCCAACAAAGTGAAGCTCTATTTTCAGAATTCACTTTTTTATGGCTGAAGGGGACTCAGTCTATCTACTGTCTTTAAAATGTTGGCCCAGGCACAGTGATGGAGACAAGGAATGGCTGTTGTCAAGATGGGCAGGGACTAAAATAGATCTCTTTTCTCAGACAGTAGTGCTTGGCTAAGGTGAGCTCTCCCCCAGCCCACACCCCACCCCCACACCCGCTAGCAATGTCTGCATGCATTTTGACTGTAGGGTGTCTCTCAAAGGACAGGGCTGCCCACTCTGTTTTGTTCCCGCTCTCATTTTTGATTTAGAGTTCGAGATAAAATGTCTAACTCTGGGAGGCTGAAACTGCCTCTAATAATATCCCTACCGTTTTAAGCAGTGAACCTCTATGACCTGCTCTGCTCCTTGAGTTTGGGAACCAGCTTCCCGTTGAGGATGTGGTTCAGTAGCCTGGTATTTGAAACAGGTGTCTTTCCTATCCCTGTGCATTCTCAATTGCTGGTGAGTTCTGCCTGTGGGGGAGAGAGGGGCTCCATGACAAGGCACACGCTTCTTAGGGTCCCTGGCCAGGATGGCTAGGCAGCCAGCGTACTGTGCAAGACAGTAGGAAGCTTGGAGCCAAGCCAGGCATCAAAAGGGATCTTATTAGCCTGGTGGCTGCTGACTTCAAGGCAGTAATTCATCGCAAATACCTGGGTATCCCATAATCTGGGCACTACTGGGAGAGAGCTTGTTCCTCTGCCATGCAGGGCAAGCCACAGCCAAACTAGTCCTACAAGGCAAGGCATCTCAGTGACTTGAAACAGTGGGAACCCGGTCTGATGACTCTTAAGTTTGTCTCACACTCCAAGACCAGGAGCATCGTCCTCCAGTTTCCCAGCATCATCCTCCATCTTCCCAGGTGCCACACCTATTCTGCAGGCTGGCCAGTCCCCCTCCCCCTCCAAAAAAAAAAAAAAAAAAAAAAAAAAAAACCCTCAAAGGCTGGCCTGGAGGCTTCTGCAAGGGAGAGGAGGGAGGTGTGGCTGTTCCTTTTCCTGCCACAATCTCTGTGTTGAGTCAGACCCACGGCTGGGCCGGTCCTGCAGCAGGCTGCTGAGCAGAAAGAGCTGTGGTTAATGATTGACCTCTCTGCTTCCCTCCTACAAGGCCACGGGGAGGCCAGTGCCAGGGACCTGGGAGGGAGAGGAGGAACCACAGCAAGGCAAAGTACTGCGGGCCTTGCTCTGAATTGGGTAGGGAGGTCAGAGCCTCCTTCCCCTGTCTGGTCCTGCCTCACTCGGGAGCAGCTATCTTTAAATCCCACAGGCACCGCCAGGGATCCTATGGTGATTTATTACAGGAAGTTTCAATGAGAAAGCCCAGAAACTAAGTCACTCTTGGCCAGCCGGCCCCAGTGACGGAAAGTGCTGCGCCCACGCTGGTGAGTTGCTGGATTCCTCTGGGCAGAGGAAGGGAAGACCTTTGGGGACCTGGTAGCCTGGCTCTCCCTCATGGCTCCATCCAGTATCTCCAGCAATGCCTGCTCCCGAGTCATCGATCACAGCCATGTCGCCGAGTTTGAGGTGGCCACTTGGATCAAAATCACCCTCATCTTGGTGTACCTGATCATCTTCGTGGTGGGCATCTTGGGCAACAGCGTCACCATCCGGGTTACACAGGTATTGCAGAAAAAGGGCTATTTGCAGAAGGAGGTGACAGATCACATGGTCAGTTTGGCTTGCTCAGATATCTTGGTCTTTTTGATTGGCATGCCCATGGAGTTCTACAGCATCATTTGGAACCCTCTGACCACACCCAGCTCCGCGCTGTCCTGTAAGCTCCACACGTTCCTCTTTGAAGCATGCAGCTACGCCACGTTGCTGCACGTGCTGACCCTCAGCTTTGAGCGCTATGTTGCCATTTGTCACCCCTTCAGGTATAAGGCCGTGTCTGGACCTCGCCAGGTGAAACTGCTGATCGGCTTTGTATGGGTCACCTCCGCCCTGGTGGCGCTGCCCTTACTCTTTGCCATGGGTATCGAGTATCCCCTGGTGTCTGTGCCTACCCACAGAGGACTCAACTGCAACCTCTCTCGCACCCGCCACCACGAGCAACCTGATACTTCCAATATGTCCATCTGTACAAACCTCTCCAGCCGCTGGACTGTCTTCCAGTCCAGCATCTTTGGGGCCTTCGCGGTTTACTTGGTGGTCCTGGTGTCTGTGGCTTTCATGTGTTGGAATATGATGAAAGTGCTTATGAGGAGCAAGCGGGGCACTCTGGCAGGGTCCGGGCCACAAGTGCAGCTGAGGAAGTCGGAGAGTGAGGAAAGCCGGACGGCGAGAAGACAGACCATCATTTTCCTGAGTGAGTCCGGGTGGCAAGGGATCCTGGGACTTCTGGCCTGAGAAGTGAAAACCTGAGTTCACTGAGGGTCAAGAGGGGTAACTGCCCTGGTGCTCTGCCCGGGTGCGTGTCTCTTCTTTGTGTTTAGAAAATCTGGGGTCTGTGACATTGGAAGGTCTGGTACATCATTTCTGTGACTTCAGGCTATGAACAAAGTATCTTGGATGAAAATACTGGGAGATAAGAGAAACAAATTAAGTCACCCAGGACAGGCGAGAGTCATTTGAAAAGGGACATGCTCTTCAGAGATAAAGAGAGTGACTCTTATTTCTGGTTCCTTGGACTAGAGAGAGCCTTGATCAGGCAGGGAAATTTTGTCCCTATTTTTTTCCTCCTCCTCGGTAGAGGCTTACTTGTCAGGGACACTGGCTCTCATCATTTGTGGCAGGAGTGATCTGCAAGTCTTAAGAAACATGCTCTGATATGCTCACCCTGCCATGTGCATGAGTTCTGCCCACTTGGGGCCATGGTTCTGTGCATCCCTGGAAAGCGACCTGGCCTCAAAATTTCTTAATACCTCCAATTCTGGTACAGAGAAAGCTGTTTGTGTCCCAAACATGGTGGTGATATAAGTGTTTCCAATTGGGGACCTTCTCTGGATTTAAGGGAACTATTTCTATGGGGCCAGTGATAAGGAACACCCGGATGCCTTCCGGTGTCTTTAGATGCTAGAGATGTGGCTCTGCTGGTGGGAATGCTTGCCTATCCTGCAGGAAGCCCCAAGAGCCATCATTAGTATTACACAAGCTTGGTGTGACATACCGTTCTCATACCGTTACAAGTTTAAGGTCATCCTTTGCTACACAATGAGTTTGAGGCTATCCTGGGCTCCACGAGACCCGGGAACAAAAACAAAGCAAAACAAACAAGTGAAGTTAAGGGCTGGAGAGATGACTGAGCAGTTAAGAGAATGTACTGCTCTTCCAGAGGCCTTCAGTTAGATTTCCAACGCTCTTGTCCAACAACGTGTAACTCCAGCTCCTGGAGCCGTGATGGCCTCTTCTGGGTGATCTTTGCCTAACATTCACCAACCCTCACATAGACACACACACACACATATGAATAATAATTAAAAAAAAACCTTAAAAGACTAAAACAGAACAAAAATCAGAAGAAGGGTTTTATTGCTATCCTCTCTGGGATCCTGGGCTTAGCTCAGATATCTGAGTATTTGTGTCACCAAAGAGTTAAAAAATATTTTTTTTCAGCAGAAACAAGGAAAAGGTGCCGTCATAGGTATGTGAGTGGGAGCTGGGCCAAGGGAGAGTTAAGATTCCCAACATTTTTCTCTTCTTTTCCGCTTTTCAGTGTGCTATCCTGAGAGAAATCAATACTGGGGTTGTTTGGGTGTCAGAAACTTGAGTAGTCAGCTCCAGTGCTGGGGTTCAGGCAGGGGTGAAACTGGGAGGTACTTGGGTAAGGGTCAGCCCTGCCTTTGGCTGAGGGTAGGTCAGCTGCGGACTTGGTTTTAATCTAAGTGTGTAGAAAATGATAAGACACTGGCTTGCATAATTTGGGTGGCCATCTGGCATCCAGGGCTGTTACCAGCATTGAAGGGGTCCCCCAGACACCAGCTGAGATGTCTGGATTCTTGTATCCTGGAAGAAGCAATTGGATCAAGGACATTTGGATTGTGGCATGAACATAGACAGTTTATTGCGAAAGAGGTCATCCTCCAAGCAAGGAAACAGGCCAGAGAGTTGGGAAAGAAAGAAGGTTAGAATCTCTGTGGCCCTGGGTCTCTGGAGCTGTGATCTTCCGTGGGTCATTTACCCGATGCTCACCTTATCTACATTTGTATACTGTGTATGCTCTGTGCCTTGCTTGTAGCCCTTCTTTCATATAGTAATTTTAATGTTCTTTCCTCCATCCTTCTCCTACCATAACTGTGCTGGGCCACATATGCTACCATTTTATAGAGGAGGAATTTGAGGCTTAAAATATGGGCTGGGAGGTAGCTCAGTTGGTAGAGTCCTGAGCATGTCTCCAGCACCCCATAAAACCAGGAGTGAAGGTGCATGCTTGCATCCCCAGAACTCTGGAGTTAGAAGCTGGAAGATCAAAAGTTCACACTTATCCTCAGTTAAGCCTAGCCTGGCACATAAGACACCCTGTTTAAAAAACACACAAACAACAGCATCTACAAGGCCCGCCTCATAGCTAGGAGGGTCTGGCCCAGACTTTCACAGTCCTGGTGGAGGAAAAATGTTCTAAGACAGGGTATAGGCAAGGAAGGAATAACCTCAGTTGGCTGACAAGTGTTCTGGGCTGTAACGTGACCTGGGACATGACAAGGACACCAAAGCCAATACAATCTCTGTCGTCTACCGTCTGTTGATTAAAATATCCCAGGAGGAAAAGAAACTGTGTTTGCTTTCTTGAAAACTTGATGAGAAACTTTCCCCCCCTTGTAAATCCTCCTCTCTTAAACTATAGTTTATTTTTATTTTCTTATTTTTCTCTGTGTGTGAATGCATGTTTGTGCATGCAGGTGCTCAAAGAGACCAGAAGAGGGTGTTGGGTCACTGGAGCTGGTGTTACAGATATGTGTGAAACCCCATTATGGGTGCTGGGAACTGAACTTGTGTCCTGTGGAAGGGCAGCAAATTCTCTTAACCACTAAGCCATCTCCATAGTACCTACGTCTCTGTTTTTGTTGTATTTTTCGGTTACAGTTCTTTTCCCAGTAGGGGTTAAGATGAATGTTAGCCTCTACTTGGTGGATGTGGTCATAATACCCCAGACTTCTATTTGAAGATTGACAGCCCCTTGGAGATCATTTCTCACAGCAGTAATTGCTGCAAATGAGTTCTTCCTCGCTCTTCTCTCCTTCCCTTCTAGACTTCTCCTTATTCTTTATAATAACTGTGTATTAATCACCTACTGGCTCCCAGCAAAGACACTGATGACTGGCAATCAGGTACTCAGTGTGTGATGAGAGCTGGAGAAATTTGCCATTGGTATTTAGCCCATCTTCTCTGTGGCAGGTTTTCAATGCAGTACTTGGAAATGCTGCCACCCCTCCCCAGTGCATTTCAAAGAACTTTTAAAAATAGGAACCTCACTAATTAACTCAAGTTAGGGAGTAAATTAATGGAGCGAAGAGGAGGAAACCATGGCTTACGTCCATTGGATTAATACGATGCAATTTGCTTTGTGGGTTTCATAAACTTGTGCTTTGGGGCATTTTTTAACCCAGAGCAAATGAACATATAAATTGTTTACAAACCACTGAATTTAATATAGTGATTTAGCTGTCTTTTTAGTACTTCATATAACAGATGGATCAAATGAAAATAAATATTTGCTCAATTCAAACATATTTGGAATTTAATATGAAATGTAAATGACGACAAAACACAATGTGTCTTTGGAGCACTCGAAGCAATAAAGAATCAATTAAGGGTTCCCTTGTCATTGTTAAAAATTCTAACTTCTGTATAATGGAGCCAAAATTCATAAACCCAAGCAAGATGAGGAAGCTTTTGTAGTAACTGTTAATTTTTCTTTTCTGCATATTTTTGTGGTTACCCCCACGCCTGTATTCCGCCTGTATTGAGGTGCTGGGCTGATGAGCAATGAGAACAAATGTGAGTCCAGGAAAGGAAACAGTTCTGAGATGCCTACTAGGGTCGCAAGCAATTTTCAGGACAAACTTGAATAATGCAGAAATGCATATTTCTCCAAATCTTTGTCTGTCTCTCTACTGCTCATCTCCTCTCTCCTGTTCCCTTCCTTCCTTCCTTCTTCCCTCTCTCCCTCCCTCCCCCTCTTCTTCCCATCTGTGTGTGATGTGTGTGTGTGTGGACATTCATGGAGCATTCACACGGGGCACTTAGATGTAGGCAAGCACACATCCACATCAAAATTAATACATTTAAAATGCAAATAGATATAATTTTTGTGGCACTCCAGAAACCTTTCAAGGCAGCAACTTCTGTGTAACCCTCAGGGCACATTAGAGCACAGAAATTGAGCTTTAAACTGTGTTACAGAATTCCATGAAATGAATGAAAGGGAACCAAAGAAACCCATGAATCAAATGTGTCCAGCCACTAATGACAACGAGAGTCTGTCTGTCTGACTTAGACTATGTAATCATGAAGGAGCAGAACATTGACAAATATAGCCCCATAGCAGGAACTTCAGCAAAAGTGGTCTGGAGGGAAAAACACAAAGGAAGTCCTCTGGAAAAAGCTTGTCTGTAGTATATTTGTTAAAATATTTATTTATTTAGTGTGTGTGTGTGTGTGTGTGTGTGTGTGTGTGTGTGTGTGTGTTTACATGTGCCCAGTGAGGGCATAAGAGGACATCAGATGCCTGGGAATTGAAATGACAGGCAGTTGTAAATCAGTTTATATAGGAATTAGGACCTAAACTTGGGTCCTCTGCAAGAGTAGCCAGTGCTCTTAACCACTGGACCATCTCTCTAGCCTCTAGTTAGCTTCTATTTGCTACAGGGACTCAAGTAGCACAGGCTGACCTTGAACTCACTAAATAGCTGAAGATGCTCTTAAGATTCTACCTTCCAAGTTGTGGGATTACAGCTGTGCCCTAAGATGCTCAAAGTTTGTAGTGCTGGAATGGAATCTAGGGCTTCCTGCATTCTGAGCAAGGTCTTCATCAACTGAACAAGATCCATAGCTCACTATAGGAACATTTTAATGGTTGTTTTCTTTACTAGTTTAATTTTCTAAGCAAAGATATTTTCTCCAGTGTACAACGATCTATCAACCCCATCTCTCAGGAAATAGCATCAAAATTAAATTAGTAACTTCTTAGCATAAGATAGTATTTTGATTCAAATGCTTGAATGTACCAGGAGAAAGTTTTACCTCAAGTATTCAGATTATTGCCACTCTCTCTCCTTTCCTTTTTTGATATAGATGTGGCTATAATAAATGATATCTCCTGTTTATTTTCTCTATTTGTGAAATCCATCATAAATTGCAAATTTCCTG